CTCGTGTCGTTGACCTTTTTGCCGATGTCCTTGGGTCTATAGTACCAATTAATGCGCAACGCATCCACCGGTTTTTTCGCGTCATTTCGTGCGTGCAGGAACTCCATGATACGCCCTACATAGTACGGCTCCCCCGGTGGTTCGCAGACCAGATACACATGGTCTACGCAGAATAGAGTCAGCCAAAGTAGAACAGTAAATGCAGAGAAACACAGGCTTTTGGCCAGGCCACCTTACCATTCGCCTCGAGCACAGTGCCATCGTCAGCTACCATACGCCCCTGTTTCGGTATCGCGCCGCACCTGTCAAAGCTGAGCATGTTGGTCTCCTTGAATCCTGCGCCATTCTGCACTACTGCCTGGGTAGCACTACGCCTTGTCCCCGTGGACGTGGATGTTGTCGGTGCATGGTTCGCAGCGTGCGCGTGTTCGCTGTTCGCAGACGGTGTCGATTGCGGAGGAGCTTTGCGCTTCTTGGAATTGCTCGAGGAGGTAGTACCGGCAGTAGCGCTGGCGTTGGTTGGGGCTGCAGGAGCTGTTGAGTGCGACTCTTTTGTCATTGTCGTTGTCGTCGCCGTCGTCGCGTGAGAATTGCTGGCTTTCAGATCGTCTGATACTGCGCTTTTGCGCGACGTTGAGTTCGTAGCTTTGGGGGCATCGGTCGTGCCGTTTGTCGTCGCGTTGGCCTGCCGTGAAGACTTCTTGTGGTCGTCGTTTTTTCTCTCGGGATATGCGTCCTCCATCTCCACGTCCACATCTTTGTCCTCTGCGTAATTGGGCCGCGCCTGGCCCCGATTCCGGGAACGCGTGCCGTAGGGATTTGGACCTGCCATGGCTTCTTTGGACGGAGGGTGCGATCCCGCCGAAGTAGACTTGATCACGGGCTGTGAGTCGGTGGCATGGTCCCCAGAATCCTTGGAGGCGGAGGGCTTTGTGGTGTGTTGGGGGGTGTGCGCAGGTGCGGGTGCAGGTGCAGATGTGTGAGACGTCGACTGTTTTTGGTCGGCGGCGGGATCTGGGTGGTGGTCGTCCTTACTGTTAGTCGAGGATGACGAAGGATTTGGCTGATCATCGGAGTCGCTCGTCTTATGCGCCATGGTGGGCGATTTAAGGCGGCGCATACACGGTGACACAAAGGAACGCCGAAAAGCTACGGCGTGACGACGTGGGGTGGTGGGATTCTACATCCATAAGATTGCCAATCTAGGTGCAACGGTGCAACGGGATGCTTCAGACAGGAAGAGCATGCATGTGCTGGCGGTGGCGGCGGCGACGGCGGCTGCGGCTGCTGCTTTATCAGAGCAGGCAGTTCGCCTGTGGCACGACGGCTAGCTAAATAGGCAGAAACCAGGATGTGTGAAGAGAAGGCTTGCCGAATTATGTCCCACGGTGGAGGAGGCGAGGAGGCCAAACGATGGGAACCGAAACGAAGGGATGGATGAGAAGTAAGGTGAGGTAGAGAGCCTGGCGGGAGGAATATGACGGGGCCGGGATTGGCAGGAACCAGAGCAGGATGCCCGGATATAATATGACTCTGGGCTGCGCGGAGATGCACGGCGATGTTCTGAAAGAAAAGAGGGTGAGAGATGAGAGACGTGAGGTGCTGTGGGACGGGAGGATGTATGTAGGCAGAGGTGAAGGTTTGAAGGTTCGCAGGCAGGCCAAGAGGTGGATGGAGGCGTGGAAGTAGACCGGCAGACCGGGGAGGGTTGAGGCGGCGGGACTGGGACTAGGTCTGGGACTGGCCACGGAACCGTGGACTATCAAATCGGTGTCTTGCAGTGTCCACCATCCACCCGACGTTAACAGATATCAGCTATAGCACGGCCGGCGGCCTGGACGCACGGTGGCAGAGCAATATGTGCAATTGCTTGTGTGACGGCAGAGTTGGGCGCCGTCATCTGTAGCTACAGAGCTGGAGTGCAGGTAGACGGACAGCTGGTGAAAGTGACGGGACAGAGAGGGCTGACAGGCAGGCAGGCAGGCAGGCAAAGAGAGGTCTGTCTACGGTATCCCACATCTAGCTATTTGATGTAGGTCCAAGAGATGCGCAGGTAGACGGTAGACCGACTCGGATCAAATTGAACGGTGCCCTACTAGCCACAAGGGTGGATACCTCTCATGTACTCCAAGGTTTAACAATGTGCATGGGGGAAATGGCCACGCATGTGTGCAGAAGTATGTGATATCAGAAGGAATATGCCTCTACCAACCTAGGGCATTTTTCGGTGTGGGTTGGGCCTTGGTGAAGATAAGTGTAATGCTTGCAGCGCGCAGACGGGGAGAGGAAGGCGACAGACGTATATGTACCTGATGGATGAGGCAAATTATCAGAGAGACTGGAGGAATTGGAGGCTGACCACATGTAGTCGCAGGGAGGGCATCTGGAGTGAAAGAGCGAGCGCAGTTGCAGTGGCCGCCAGCCTTATGTACCGTAAAGTGCATATATGCGGTGCCTCTATGCTGTCAAGTGGTATCCTGCGCTGCATCACCTGTGATCCTTCTGTAGATGCAAGTAATTGGAAGTTACGCCTGGGGGACAGCAAGAGAAGTGAGGGTTTGCGGCGTTTCGATTTTGGACTGGAAGCTCTTAGCTGGGACGAGGTGCAGGACGTGCCACGGGATGTGTTGTACATGGTACAAGGTACATGGCACACCGGTCCCCTGCCCGCCACGCCCCACCCACACCGCGCCCCCTGTCAAGACCAACCAAGCGGCGCCAAGCTGCGTCTCCTCCCAATTCATGCATGTTCTTTTCGACTTCACCTCATCATTCCCTCCTCTCGGCTCGTCAATCTGCATTCATCGCATCCATCAATATTATTGCTAGGTAGCAAGGCTGGGAGCTCACAGGTGGTCCATTCATCACTCATCACTTTTATTCCAGCTTCCATCTTGCAATTGTGTTTGTAGTGCCCGCCCTACTACGTCTCTGCCACCCGCCCGACCTGGCCTGACGTAATGTACAGACTGCTGTGTTTCACTCTCGTCCACTGCAAGACTACTCTCGCATGTGTCGGTGCTTGGCCACTGGCCAGCTGGCCCTCGATAGTCTCTCCCAGCTAGGGTCGACGCTTTTCGCCCTTGAAGTAAACAGCGCATCGGTTTGTCTTCACGCAATCTTGCTCCATGCCTACCATACCTACTTGCCTACATGAACATTTCCTTACATGTGCAAGCGAATGACCACAAACAGTCTTTTCACGATTCCACCAAACCATCGCTCTCTTCTCGCGGTTAATCCTCTCCTTTTACCGCGCCACCGGATGACCCAAGCTCGCCTTCTTGGGGCTCAGCCAGTACCGTATTGCGACATTCGCCCGCGCACCATCACGTGGTGGGGACTTGATGGCATTGAACGAGTCAAGTTCTCCTTGGACAAGTACCGCATTCAATCAGAAAGCATTGCGCAGTTGTTCTGTAATTCTGATAATGCTATCCTACCACCTCCGCAGCTATGCAGTTACGATATCTAGCAAGTGATCAAGGACCGGCATTGCTAGTGCGATGGCTGAGTCTACGGTCTAGCTGGCGTTGTGGACGTGGACTTGGACGTGGACTTGAGAACCGTCACCGCCCGGCGTTTCCCTGGGACGTTGCAATTGTTGCAACCGAAAATCTCGACTTTTTGTCCGTTCCACCTCATCAGGGACCAAGCCGACAGGTGCGGATTTGAATTTGGATTGGACCAGTCCGAAAGTCACCCCCCACTCCAAGGCTCTAAATAATAATATGTCACATGGAACAGTGATCTAGCCATCCTCTCTGGCATCTGCATCGTCATCATCGTCACGAGAACCGGCACGACAAACCTACATTGAAGAGACTTCGGGCGCAACCATTTGAACCGGATCAAAGGCGATATCGCACCAGATGCAGTGCACTAAACTTGTAGGTATATGTGCTTCGGTTTTGGAAAAATATTCCGAATTTTTAGGTTGGATGGTCGATAGGGGATGTCTCTTTCTTAGACGCAGCATATTGAATTATCGCAGCCTTCTCTGCGTAAGTAATAGCGAGCCTATAGTGGGTTCTCCAGGGTTCTTGTCGCATCGACGGATCGATCCAAACTCATATGCAATCATATAGGTAATTTTGGTACCAGACGCGGAAGCGCCTAGTCGTCACAAGCTGAACTTGATGAAGCGTCCTACCATACAATTTTGGAAATGCTCCCAGTTTCCATGGCAGTTGGGGAATAGAGCCTCCGGTTGGAGTTATCCAGTGTTCGTGGAGTGGCTGGCTGGCCATTTCATGTTGTTGACACTTGACCCAGCAGGGGCCTGTCAACCATAATAGCCAGGCGCCATGCCCACGTGCTGACACTTTCGATCCAGCGAAATGTTCCCTATGACCGTAACACCCACGACGTCCATTCATATCCATAGAGTGGTTCTGCGTGCCCGTAATTGAGGACGTGGGAGCCAGCAATGGTCACGCATCGGTCGGTATTGGAAGATTTGGAACTCACTGGGCAGTAAATTTGACGATTGACGTTGGGGAATGCAGAAGAACCCGACCACGCTCGCCGACGGCACGGGCCAGGTCCCGCCCTGCCGTTGTCGGGTGGGCACCTAATGAAATTACATAAGCTGGGGTCGGGTCATCGGAGCCGGACGCCACATCATTCCCGATGCCCAGCCCACTTTTCTCGTGCGCCACGACGTCAGCCCAAATAAGCTCAAATTTAAGATCATCAAAAACATGTTCATAGCACATGGCAGCACAAACTATCACATGTACTTATTAACGAACAGGCGTCATATAATCGATATCATATGTGACTGCATTATACTTCTCTAAAAGACAATTGATATCGCATAAGGAATATTCGAAACTGTATGCGGGCGTATAGACGCTGTGGAGCTATAGGGCCAGTTTGTGCGGACATACTTATCGACGTGCGGGGACAACCTGCACTGTGCAGCGATTAGACGACAACACTGAACTGACGCCATCCGCCAACTCGCTTTCTCTCCGTGTCGAGGCCTTTTGAGAAATATGGACGACTCGAAGGGCTTAGCACTCGCTTTCGAAGAGGCCAAGATCAGTTATGACGAAGGTGGTGTCCCGGTAAGACGGACCCATGGAAGAAAAGCGACGCCATAAACCCCAATTTCTAACGGACTACTGTGACTACTAGATCGGCGCCGCCCTCATCGCTGCCGACGGCAAGGTCCTCGGGCGCGGGCGTAACATGAGGGTCCAGAGCAGCAACCCCATCCTACACGTGAGTCGTCCTCGACTACACCCAGCCGCAGAGAGTGAAAAGTGTGATTCGATCAAAGCAAAGGTACTAATAGATACGATGCGAATCAGGGCGAGACCTCCTGTCTCCAGAACGCAGGCCGCTTGCCCTCTTCGGCCTATAAAGGAAGCACCATGTACACGACGCTCTCCCCCTGCGACATGTGTGAGTCTCCCCCATCCATACCTAGACCATAAACAGCAAAAACCAGCGCATTAAGCAAACAGTCACCATGGAACCATAGCTAAGAAAACGCCCCGATAAGGCACCGGCGCATGCATCCTCTACGGCATCGCCCGCGTCGTCATCGGCGAGAACAAGACGTTCCTCGGCGGCGAGGCCTACCTTAGGCAGCGCGGCGTCGAGGTCGTGGTGCTCGACTCTGCCGAGTGCAGGGGGCTGATGGAGAGGTTCATTGCCGAGAAGCCCGAGGTCTGGAACGAGGACATCGGCGTTGAGGAACGGGTTTATTCGCGGGAGGGTGTCGAGGCTCCATCCGTGTGATGGACCACCCTGTTCAAGCCCCCGGTGGATCGGCCGTGGTAGATGGACACCATCGAATCCAGGAGTGTCATCGTCAGTGCCGACTCCGGCTTCCGGACTATCTCAGCGGCTATGCGAATGTGCGGCCGGGCCTCTGTCAGATCTCCGTATGCCTCCAGGATCTGTCCCAGGCGGTAGTGTACACGAGCAACGCAGGCGCTCGGCCATTCCGAGTCGTCGGACTGATGCACTAGATAGCGCAATCTTCCCCTATACTCTGTCAGTCTGAGCCGTACGCTGGTGTCTGAGCGCGCGGCCAACTTGACAGACTTAGCAAGAAACCTTCCACAGCCCGCCCTGGGGTATGGTCACGAGTATTGCCTGGCTCGGCACTTATGATCGTAACGGATTTAAATAGATAAAAAAAATACTAGGAGGTAGCGCTTACAATACTCAATTATGTGATTTAAAGATGAATAGATGTTGTTTATGTTGTCGCTGAGAAATGTACATGTGAAGATTGGTAGTAGGGTGGTTGATTGGGCTGTGGAAGGTTTCTTGCCAAGTCTGCCAGCCAGCCAACTTACTCGGCATCGAGCCGGTGGCCTAGGTGATACTGCGCATTTGCGACCCAGCAGTGGGCGCTCAATGTGGGCGCTCAATGTGGGCGCTCAATGTGGGCGCTCAATGTGGGCGCTCAATGTGGGCGCCGCGTGCTCTCCGAGCAATGCTGTCCTATCCTGCATGATCTGTAGGGCTAAGGTGAGTGCCTTCCTATACTGGCCAATGTTGAAAAGCAGAGCAAGGAGATCAAATTTGAACTGGAGAATTAATAATTGATTTGCGACCTAGTTCAGCTTAGCGACTTGGATGGCTCGGTTTATAAGTCTAGTAGCTTTATCGACCCGGCCTTCGCTAAACCTCACGTAGGCCATGTCCTCGTACTCGACAGCAAATTTCAGGGCTCGACCACTCTTCTATTAAACACGTCGAATTCGGAGAATGTGTGTGAGACGAAGCAAAAGCCATTATTGTCCAAAGTGAACTCGGGTTCTTTGCCGCGAATGTCGGCGATGGCCTCCTCAGCTCCTCCTCAAAGCTAAAATTCGTCCTCTTCCTCCAAGAATGGCACATGACTGAGTTTCATGTCCGACTTTTCCGTCTCATAAAGGTCTTTCCATACTGCGTATCTCGCCCTTCTAGCAGTGCGATCGAATTTCTAAGCCCGTACTCGAACGTAAATAATATCTAGTCGTGTTCCTCCTCCGTGATCCCCGGGCAGCCCTCCATAGCATCATCCTCGTACCCGCATTTACACCAGAAGCAATACAGATACTCCTTCCTCAGATACTCCACCAGCAGCCGCAGCCTCTCGCCAGCCTCAAGCGCGTTGAACTCGTCCAGCTCCGGATCCTCCTCGTCCAGGTCCTCCACCTGCGCGTGGGTGGTGCTCAGCTTGCCCATGGCCCGCTTGTCGTCCTCCTCCTCCAGGTCGTCCTCGTAGGTCGGCAGGCGCGATGTCGAGCTGCTCTGCTCCAGGTCGTACTTCATCCGGCGGTCGCGCTCGGCCTCCTCCCGCCGGCGGATGAGCCCCCGCCAGACGACCGGGATCGACTTCAGTGGCCGTGTCGACAGCGTCTTCTTCTTCTTCTTCTTTGCCGCCGTCTCACCCGCTTCCGTCTCCACCTTCGCCTCCGCATAGGCACCGCCCGCATGCGCCTGCGCCTCCTCGTCCATGCGCTCGCACACCTTCATCGCAGCATAAACCAGGCTCTCATTCCTCGCCTGCTCGCGCTCCCTACGCACACGATCACGAAACTCATTCTCATCAACCCTAACCCTCTTCAGCTCTTCCTCCACGACCTCATCCAGCTTCCGCTTGCGCTCCGAATCCAGCCCAATACCACCACGATCGTCCTTCATCTCCGGCCTAATAGGCTCGCGGCGCGCATTCTCAGCATTATCAACGCTACCTAACGTGCCGCCCTTCTTGAAGCCCATCTTGGCCATCATGGCGAGGCCCTTGCTCTTCTTGGCCGCGGCGTCCTCGAGCAGCGATTTTGATAGTGCGGCCTCGCGCGCCTCGCGCTCCTCGGCTGCGAGCACGGCTTTCGACTTGGCGTGCGCTTTGATCTCGCCCTCGCGCTTGAGGCGCTGGCGCCGCTGCAGCGAGGTCTCGGTGGGCTTGGGCGGCTCCTCGCCGAAGGTCATGTTCATGTAGTCGTCATCCTCGTCGGACGCCATGGTTGCGTGCGCTTCTGATGTGAGATCTCTTGTAAGCGGGGGTGGATAACCTGGCGGGGTTCGGGAATGCAAATGAGTGTGTGTGAAATTCCGGAACGGGAGGATGAATAAATGGGTGGGTTATTGCTCAGCACCGTAGATGTTTCTCTTCGGTGAGGGAAGACTGGAGTGAATGTTCGGTCGTGGTGTGAGATGGCCGCCGTTGAAGAAAAGGTTTGGGTGGGCAGGTGGGGCTAGCACCACACAGCAAACAACCACAGTACCTGTACATACCCAAAGCGAGGAATCCATTGCGTTTCCTCCGATTATCGAGCGAAAAGTACAAATTAGAAGTTTGGCAGCACAGCGAGATGTTCATTGACCATTAGTTGGCAGTTATCATGTTATATGGAAGCTCTTCCTCCCCAGAAGAGCCTACATCCCTGCCGCCCCAGGTTCTCCTAAATACAGCCCATGTAAGCGTCAATGAAGGACATCTCGAAGCAAAGATTCGCTTTGCTATGACAGCGATCCAACTTGGCCCAAAGAAGCAGGCCAGGAAGTCGTAAGAAGGAAGGATATAATGTACACCTATACAGACAACCAAGTTCGTCACAGCGTCTCACGCCTCATCGTCGGGCAGTTCGTCGATGACCTGCTCCACGATAGCTATTAATTCCACAATATCAGGCCGTTCGCTCGGTTCGAGTTTCAGGCATTTCCTGACCACCTCCTTGACCGGGTCGCTGATTACACCCTCCTGGGCGCCCGCGCTTGCACCGACCGCGTGCTTTCCCTTCCTCTGTTGCCGTCCTTCGTCCGGGAATCGCCAATCACCACCTAGCACACACATATTGAGGCTACCGCCAGTCTCGTCGCTGCGCATCTCGAATGGTGACTTGCCAACCAGGCAAGCGAACAGCGTGCAGCCCAGTGACCAGATATCGACCTTAGTATCGATCATAGTCCCCATTCTCGCATCGAATAGTTCTGGCGCTCGGTAGGGCATTGTGCTGTGTTCCGCTGCTATGTCTTGTATTGCGATGGCAGCAGACTGCGACGTGATAGCTATCGGTGATTCGGCGATGGAACCTAGGTCCATAATGATGGGCTGCGAGCCAGAATCGTCGATCATGATGTTGCCTTAACACACGTTCATGATCAGCAACAATCCTTATTCAATAACATACATGATATGAAGGCTTACCTGGTTTGATGTCCCTATGCGCCCATGACCTTTGCTCGCCAGGCGCTACAACTTGCTCCTCTACCATCAGAGGCCTCGCTTGTTCTGTTTCGTCGTCGGCGTCGGCGGCCGCCACGGCTCTGTTTCTCTTATTCTTCCCCTTTGGCCCTCCCACGTCCTCCTCGCCAGCTTTTGCGTTGCCCACCTCCATGCGCTCCCCGCCCGGCGGCGCACGATATTGGTGCATTGACTTCAGGGCCTTGCACACACCTAGAAACAGGTGCATGAGCTCCTTCTCGGGGAAATTTGTGTGGTTGACCAGGTTCGCATTTATGATATCCTGCAGGTTTCCCCTCCTGTAATACGGCAACAGGACGTATACGGTCTTCGAATCGGCGTCGTTCCGTTCGCTCGCAATGGAATAGTCGATGCTGTGGATGATGTCGGGCGTGTGCGCAAACGTCTTGTAGGCCTCTACTTCGCGCATCGCTTGCTGGACGGATTCGGTACCGAACGGACATCGGATCTTTTTGAGGGCGAACAGCTCTGCCGTCGCGGTGTCCTGTACAAGGTATACATAACTGAAGCCACCTTCTCCCAGCAGACGCAGGATCTTGAATGATCGGGTGTTTATCTTTAGGGTCGGAGATCCGGGAAAACAGTTCAGACAGTTGCCGAACGAGTAGAACAGATCTTGTAGAAGCTGCGCCATCGTGAACGGAAAGAGATGAACAGCCTGGTGCAACTCCCGCCAATTGCTTCCGGTTCCGCGAGACTTGGGGGTAGAACTCGAGAGCTTTCGGACGTTCGGGAGGGCCGGTCGCTGTCGCAACCCTACAGGTTTCGCTTGAGCTGACAATTGATATCACCAGATGGGCGCGCTCCAAAAGCACTCGATAGACAATGGGCATAGGGGTTCCTGGAATAGCTGGTGGACAGGATGTGGTAGTGAGCTGTCATTGAAGTTCTGTAAGACGCTGGAGGTAAGGTAAGGTAGCTGGCAATATGCGCATGTCGTAGCGAACTGCGCCACAGCTTCTTTTTGGTCAGGAGCGGCTGAAACGCGCAGCGGCCCGTGTTCAATGTTTCTTTAAACATTGACGATCCACGATTCAACGTTTATGCCAGTCGAAACAAACCTCCAAAACATACCAGAGTGGTCAACGCAGTCTCACGTCCTTCTAGAGCGGTTCAACAAAGTATTTCTTGATCTGGCCATAGGGCAAAGCGAAGGTGGACTCCAACAAGTCAATGCTCGACCATCAATGCCGCCTTCAGCTACACGTAACTTATGTACAACAAGACACTGAGGTGCGCACACGTGTACCTGCAACCCAGGTGATCCCCAAACGAATGGGTTAATAACGCCTTTTATTAGACCATTAGGTGGGAGTAGGATAAGTGTCAGCAATATCGGTACATGTATTCGGCGTTCAGTTGATGTGATTCTGGCGACGGTTCGGTGGAACGGATAGGTCGGTACCTCCCCATTGATGCATATTGCCAGTTTCTCACCCTCCTCTGTACTTGCATCTCCGAATTTCTTCAAACACCAGAAACCACAGAGACCAAAGCCGACGCAAAACATCATGGACCTCCCATAAACAACGTATCAGCTAATGGTTCAGGGTATCTCATTTGGGTGCTCTTGATATTGCGAACTTCGACATCCTATCCTCGATCTGATCAGTGAGCGACCTCAGATATCGAAAATTTGCACTCACCTTCTGTGTTCTGAAATACCGGACCAGCATCGGGCCAATATGAACCTGCCATACCAGTGCCTCAGCGCATTGGGGACCGGCGGTCTCTTCTGCGCCGCCAAAGGGACCAGCATCCACACCTTCGATCTGGGAGCGGACCCTCAGTTTCTGTCCTCATGGAGCCATCCCCTTCGGTTCAAGCAGAAGCAGGCGGAAAACAGCAAGCCTCAGGATGGGGAAGATACCCCAATGGAAGAGGCCCCTGGTGAGCAAGCAAACGATCAGCCGCCTTCGAAGAAGCGCAAACTAGATGAAGGAACTGAGTATTCCAAAGCCGAGGCCGAGGTTAAGGTTGAGACTGAGAACGAAGACGACGATGCTGCGACGCCGGAAGCGCCAGCCAACGGCAAAGGGAAAGGCAAAAACAAAGGCAAAGGCAAAGACCAGAAGAAACCAAAGTCCGAATACGCTGCTGTTCGGCCAGAGGCGCCGTTTGTTATTATCCTGACGGCAACCGACGATGGAAGCCATGTGGTCGCCGTGACAGGGCAGGATAAAGCGATATGGACGTTCGAGCACGACGGCAAGGGCGCGTCGAAGGAACTGAGTCAAAGGTACAGTACTCTCCTTCCGATATCACTTCCACACATCAAACCATGAAACTCACACCAAAAGCAGAGTCATGCCCAAGCGGCCCTGCTCCATCTCCATCACGTCAGACAAGAAGACCATCCTCTGCGCCGACAAATTCGGCGACGTCTACGCGCTGCCCCTGCTCCCTTCTTCCCCTGCCCCCCTGCCCTCTTCCTCTACACCTCTGCTGGAGTCCCCTTCCACTTCGACCCCGGACGCCAACGCCAGCGCCAGCGCGGACACAGCATCACCGGCCGCCCAACAGCAACCCAAGGTCCACCGCGGCGCCAACACCCTGACCGTGCACTCCCAGCGCAACCTGCGCGCGCTCGAGGAGCAGCGAAAACAGCTCGCCAAGCCGCGCGAGGCGCCCAAGGACGGCCGGCCGACCTTCGAGCACGAGCTCCTCCTGGGCCACGTCTCGATGCTGACAGCCGTCACCGCCGCCAGGGCCCCTGCCTCCAGCTCATCTCCTGACGGCAGCAGCAGCACGCGTCCGTACATCATCACCGGCGACCGCGACGAGCACATCCGCGTCTCGCGGGGCATGCCGCAGGCGCACGTCATAGAGACGTACTGTCTGGGCCACGAGTCGTTCGTCGGCGCCCTGTGCATTCCCGGCCCACAGCCAAAAATCCTGATTTCGGGCGGCGGGGACGCCGATCTACTGGTATGGGACTGGAGAGCTGGGACGCTGCTGGGCAGGACGGAGATCCTCGGCCGTGTGAGGGAGGTCGTGCAGGATGCCGCCAAGGTTGCGGTCGCGAAGCTCTACTCTTATGAGGCGGAGCTGGGCTGCTTCGTGGTGGCTATTTGCGAAAGGTATGGCTGCCTTTCTTGCAACTTCCTGGATCCAACGTAGCCCGGACGCGAGCTAATATGTGATACAACAGAGTCCCAGCACTATTCATCTTCCAGCTCAAGGACAACAACACCCTCGAGCACGTGCAGACCCTCCAGCTCCCCGGCAACGTCCTAGACGTCACAGCCGTCAAGGCCGCCAATTCACAAACCCCAAAACTCGTCGCAGCAGTCGATCCCACCAACGACGCCGAGTCCAACCATTTGGACAACAACTTCCAGCAGTCACTCCTACTCTTCGAGCTGGACGGCTCCGGCTCGACCTGGACGCCCAAAGGCACCATCCAGGGCGGCCCCGCGGCCTCCGAGGACCTGGAGGTGGCCCGGGACGAGCTGGACAAGGTGCTCTACACGGTTGAGCAGCTCCGCAAGACGGAGCTCCGGGACGAGACGGAGCAGGGCGAGCCGTCTGAGAAGTATTACAAGAAGCTGCCGGTCCCAGACCTGGACTGAGACCGGGACGGGACGGGACATGCATCGCATATGTACGTCGGGACCGGGCCTGGAAAATCGCAATGGATGGGGTCTGACTTCGGCTGTGCGAATTCCCAAGGCCAGATGCGACGCCGAATAGGCATATGCAGCTTGTTCACTCAAATGAATTACGAGTGCTCCATGATTGTCGATACGGAATACAATGTGCTTCGCTCTCGTGATGTTGCCTTGAATATGCTTAATCACAGCCGCCCCAAACCATTTGGCTCAGTCGTCTCAACAGACGTAGGTGTTGAACGTATCTTGCGGATGAGCCAAGGTCTGCTCCACTACAAAACACGAGTTGATATCGCATCATTAAAGGGGTAGATCGGAATCATCACGGTGTATTCTACAAATGCAAATACTGTCAATTCGACCATTGTTCCTCTATGTCCGTCTAAACGCCAGCTTGCAGAACGACCATGGAGTAAGAAATTGAAGTGACGTTGACAAAGGCCGAGGAATCGCAAGCACCGTCCGTCCCGTCAACGTATTAGTAGGAGGCAGGCCGTCCAAGCTAAATACGTAGCAATATCCGTTCGCCAGCGTCGATTCTAATGTGCAGACCCTAATCAAAGCCGAACATCACCATCTTCATTCCATCATCACGTCACGCCATAAATGCTGCCTTCTACTGAAGAACCTGATGAGCAGACTCATGTCATGCCCAAGAGGTGACCCAGGAGACCCGATACACCGAGCCTAGATAAAGATGCAGTGCCTCGCTGAATTACTGGGACGCACATTGCACACGTTCCGCATGAGGATTGCCGTCTTCGTCATCCTCATCCATCCCCTGTGCACCATTGAAGGCCCTGGCCTGGCCCTGGGTCTCAACATCTTCGAGCTCCGCATCGTCCGTCATCGCGTCAGCAGGTGGAATGGCCTGGACCGCAGGAGCCGGAAGGATCTTTCGAAGGGCCTCAAATGCTTCAGGATCTTGAGTCCAGCCGTGCTCGGGAAATTTGACGGCGAACTGGATGAACATGTTGCCGTTCTCGTGGTGCCGGGGTGATGGCATACCCTGTGAACGGAGCATCTTCACAGCATCTGTAACCATGGCGTCAGTATTAAGTAGCGATTGAGGAGGGTTAATGATAACATACCAGGTGCGATAGCCTCGCCAGGCATGATCTCAACGGTCAGCCATCTCTCATCCAGGTGCTCGATGTAGATTGTACCTCCTGCCAAAGCGGTCACGAGCTCGATCTCGCACCGGTACAGCAGGTCATCCTCCTTTCGGGTGAATCTAGGGTGCGGCTTCTGTTCGATCTCGAAGACCACATCACCGGCTTGCACACCCGGGGCTTGGTCACCCTCTCCCCTGAACTCGACCTTCGTACCGCTTCGGACGCCACGATCGACGTGAACATGGAGAACCTTCCGGTCGACGATGGTCTTCTTACCACTGCATGCCTTGCATCGGTCCTTGTCCTTGATAATTTCACCCTCGCCGTTGCAGTCGGGGCAGACGGTCTGGAACCGCTGGATCATCGGGCCCATTTGTCGCATCATAGTCTTCATACCGTGGCCATCACAGCCGGCGCAGCGCCGAACGGCACCCTCTTTACCACCTCGTCCCTCACACTTGGGGCAGATGACGGAGCGCTGTAATGCCAACTTGGAGACCTTGCCTCGGTAGACGTCCTCGAGGGAGACCTTGTGCGTGTGGTGGATGGTGCGTGCTTTGGGTGGTCCGCGAGACTGTCCGCCCATACCGCCAAACATGCCGCCTAGACCGCCGCCAAAGCCTTGACCGCCGCCAAAGAACTGGGCGAATAGGTCTTCAGCAGCCATGCCGCCGCCCCCGGCGCCTCCTTCAAGGCCGGCCTCGCCATATTGATCGTAGACGGTCCGCTTCTGGGAATCGGAAAGAATTTCGTAGGCATGTGAAATCTCCTTGAACTTTGCCTCAGCGTCAGGGTTGTTGGCGTTCTTGTCTGTAGCGCGCACGTCAGCGCTGTCCTTCTGCCATGATGGCTCAACGGTCGTGTCGTCGGAGAAAGTACATACCAGGGTGGAACTTCAGGGCGCCGGTCTTGTATGCCTTCTTGAGTTCCTGGTCGGTGGCGGTTGGCGAAACCTGGTAAACTGTAAGCTTGGGCTCCTTTGCTTGCGTATCAGTCAGTCCAAGATGTAACATACGCCAAGGACGTCGTAGTATTTGGTCTCTTTGACCATGTTGTCGGATTACGAGGCAAGGCTGGCTGCGAGTGTAGTGATCGGTAGCCGAGAGCGAGCGAGACGAGATGGCACGCGCGACGGAGAGTTGGTGAAGTGCGTGAGTGGTATTTTCTTTTTCTAAGGACGAAAATTTGTGTTAGCCGGCAGGTTAAGGTATTCGCAGAGTCAACAACGATGCCCCGTGCGGGAAGAAACGTCGAGAGTATTTTAGGTTCAGATTGAGAGCAAGAGTAGGTCAAGCGGAGCCCCACAGATGCGCGAATCGGTCTGTGTCAATCTCCATCTAGTGTGTAGTTTTCTGCCTTGCCCCTCGGTGGGAGGTTGCAGCCGGCGCGGCGAGGTGAGGCAAGGCAACGCAAGGCAATGCGAGGCAAGACAGCGACAGGCTAGAGTTGGGGGGATTTCACGTACTAGATGATCGGTTTCGGTACGACAGAGAATGATTCGGAGATGGCAGGGAGGGCGATCGTTGTCCTCGACGTGGGAAATGGAAAATGGCTTGTTGGCGCAGAGGTGCTGTTTGCAGGTGGCGGTTGTAGATGGTCGAGGTGGGAGTGGCAGGACTCAGGACTGCTTAGAAGTATCTAAGGCAGGTTGGCTCCTTCGATTTCCAGAAGAGTCTGGTCTGGGTCTGGGCGCAGATAGGCGGCAGTAGGCGCAAAACAGTTGAGCGATAAGGGGCGACAATCAGTTCAGCAATAAACTGGTATCGAGTCTGTCCGTCCTGTCTGTCTTGGTCTCTGGTAACAATCAAAACTAGTAATAATAAACTTTGCTATGCATTCACAAACTCACGCTTTCTCGATACTATTCATGTATGTCCGTCCGGCCGCAACTAGGAGGCTGAGATTTTTCAGCGCCACTACTTCGCGCATCGAAACCGATAGAATCGTGGCTTTGCCGACAATGTACTCACAGGTAGCTCTGGGGCTGGAAGGGTTGCGCTCAGGGGTTGAAGCGCAGGGGGAGGGGTGCGGATCAGCCTCGCTATACTTGTGGCTACTTTGGCCTCGGTGTTTCTATGTCATGCAACCTGGGTCCTGATGTAAGGTCGCGAGCGATGTGGGCGGGGATGGGATGCCAAATGGGTGCAGGTCACAGCAGGTGGACTGGCGAGACCCCTGAACCCCCGGGCGGCTGATCAAGCAGCGAAGGGCAGTTCCAAGACGGCCCTCCAAGCTGGACCCCGGTCTCACCGAGACACCCAGACCTGCAGGACCCGTCCCCGACCTCCACCTGGGCAGCTCCAGCTCCTTTAGAGTGTCGGAACGGAATATCCTCACATTCCGAGTATATTATCTTGGAAGTCTCAGTAGGTAGGTACCTATGGAATGGATTCTCAACATTTCCTCCGTTCCTGAAGGGTTCATCAATTCGACGACGACCCCGGACAGCAACCATTTCAGTGTGCATTCCAGACTTCAACGTTTCCGGGGTTCCTGGTGTCCCGTCTATTGGCATGCCACCAGGGCCGTCTGACAAGGATAGATTGAACCCCATTCCGCATTGCAATGGCAGCGAGCATCAGAGACCGGAACCATAGCCGGAACAGGTCCAGATTCACGACCGAGGTCGAATTTGGTGTACAATTCATGACGAATCCAGATGTCCACACTCCCGGATTAAGAAAAGTCCAGTGGCCGGCCTACATCCGCGAGATAATGGCCACACCCTTCACCTACCTGAACGCCTTCTTGCCACTGCCCTTCATGGCTGGTAGGGCCTTTCGTTTCGCCCAATGCCCAGGTAACGACCAGTCTTCGGTCGGAGGCGTCAGATTGCATCGAACGTTCAGGTCACCTCATACACAAGTCAATCCAAGTGGACTGGATGCGTTCTGCTATGAAGGCTTGGCGAGGGCAGTCTCAAGCCGCTATTCCCCAGTTCAGTACCCTTCGCCCTCGACAACACAATGCCTAACTCTGGATATGCGGCCGCTCGCGGAGAACTCTCGACGACCAATTGTTGAATAGAAACGAATACCGACTATACAACCGGAGAGGGTCGTTGTGTGGTAGGCGTTCGTTCGGGTATATAAACTCCTGAGCTTTGTCTTGCCGGGATCTGATGAAGCGGCCTCTCTGGCATTGTCAGCCTTATGGCCTCATGACATTGGAGCGCACGTGTCTCGACTGACGACAAGGTGACACGCGACAGGCTCAAAGCTGTACGAGGAACCCGATGAACAGAATCAAGAACACAGTGTCGAACCCTGCGTTGTAGGAGGAGCCCGTACCCAGCGGTCGGAGGTGAGAAGGGAGAAGGCTGACCCGCAAAGGAGAATCAAGGTCCTTATAACCAATTTCGACTATGCCCATGTGTCTGTCAATGGGTTCCCAACGTACTACCTACCTACCTAAACTACCAGGGGGTAGTGTACCTCAAGATGCAGGTAGAATCGACTATTGTCCATCGCAGTCCATGACCATGATATACTTGAGTCTTGGGGCAGGCATCTGAGTCAGCAGCCGGCATCTCATGGTCACGCCCTCCCCGCCTCGCAATGTGCAGCCCATGATGCACACAGGAGGCAATTGCATCTGCTCGTACCCAGGTCGGCCAATGGGATGCTGCAGGGGTTAGGCTATTGAGAAATGCCGAGCTGGTCCACGGGTCTGTGTCAGCCATCAATACTGTAATGGCCCGAGAACATGTGCTGAGGTACCTGCTCCTACCTTGGCTTAGTGATGACCGTATAAATAGATGCGACCAAAACACAGCGGCGAGCATTCTCTGATTGGTGTGTTTCCCATTGATGGTGACAGGGCGAGGTGCTCTCAGCCCCCAGGCCGACCAGATACCCGCTTTAGTCCGCCCACCTTCGGCTCGTCAACCCGCGTCTGAGGTCGTCATGTATAGGCATCGTGACTTGGAATCAGCTGGGAATCAGCTTGCACGCCCTCCATACCACAGCGGGCATTGCCGTTCTCACCGCCCACGTCCGATCATGGGAATGCCATCTCCCTCAGCAGTGTCACATCCGCCGTCGCCCGCTCCCATACTTACAAATTCTCCTTAGTCAGCCTCAGGGTCAAGCCTGGGTGACTGGCCATGACATGCCTTGATGGTCTTTTGTTTGACAGTCCGAATCCATCATCCAATACGAGCTGCAATCCCAAGATCACCGACTACTCAAAGCTCCATTGAAATGCAACGGTTCAAGTCAGACTTGTTCAGCCTGGTGGTTCCTCACCGAGCCAGGTGGAGTATAGGCGAAAACCAATACACCTGGACCATTCAATCTGTTCAGCTTTGCCGGAGCAATGTTCCAGTCTGGTAGACCCTTGCCCGAGCTATGTGCGAAAGCCACGGCAGTGGAGAATTATTAATGTTTACTAAAAACAAAGAACTACAGCGATGATGACAAGGCGAAAGGGAGGCGGCCGCCGCGAAAGGCACTTGTACTTATGTATATGTCTTCTGCATGTTGCTGACGCCAGCAACCGCAACCACAACTCCGAGTTGCACCTTGCACCTCAACATGACACTGAAATGCCATACCTGATCCCAGGCCTTTTCACATACCTCGAACCGTACTGACTAAGCCGCCCTTATGCATGCGCAGGGTCAGCCATTACCCGTATCCACGTTTTGGAGCCGAGGTCGAATGCTCTATTTTCTTTATTCCCAGCTTCACCCACCACAACTAAGCGGGTTGGCCTGCTCGTTTACCATCATGCCAATAGGGCTGTGTACCAGGATGCCGAGGGCCCGAGAGATCGCCTCCATACCCTTGCGGGATAAGCTTGATTGCCCTCGCTGCAGCTGAACAAGATGTCTATCATGCCCGTGGACCTATTTTGGAGTGATCCACATAGGGGGTTCGTTCGCAAAAGATCACTCAGTCTCGAACCCGAGTTTGGTATATGGTGAACCGGGGCCCTCCATGCGACTTGACAGTATCAGTAATCATAAGTGCGTCCGTATCCCTCTTCCAAAGTCAGCAAGACGACCTTTCGCCACGCCACTGTCCCAAGAATTTACATCGTCTTCACTTTACTTTCTGACAACCAACTCGCTCTGTTAATACCACGCACTACCCCGAGATCGACATCGAGCTTCCCGCCTGCCGTACGATACTAGCATCATGGAGGGATCGAACAGCACGCCTACTGCCGCCAGCGGGCGGTCCAAAGCAGCAAAGAGCAGGAACACCGATGTCCGCAAAGAACAAAATCGAGTCGCGTCACGCGCGTATCGTAAGGCTCTTGACTCTTGACTCTTGATTCCTGACGTTTATATGATAGTATCTGTCACAAGCCTTACTGACACAGCTACAGGAGAAAAACGCAGACAGAAGTTGGCCCTGCTGGACGAACTCCTGAAATCGGATTCTTGTGCCGACTCCATGAGCTCGGTATCTGATGAGACAGACGCCGCTCAAACGCCTCTGTCTATATCGCAGAGCAGGCATGCATCAAAAAGCCCTGCGCCGCCAACACTGCCTACGATTCCAGTAGCAGCACAGTGGCCGCCCGTGGCCCAGGCTATGGGTTCCAGTGGTCCGACCTTTGGACAGGAGACGTATGCCAGTTACTGGATGGACTGCTTCGATCGGCCCGGCGACTTTGTCACTGCAAATACGACATACTCACACCCGTTCATCCCTACCGATGTGGACGGTAGCAATCTAGGGACTTCTTCTTCCCAGTACATAACGCCCATCCCATCAATACCATCAATGCCATCGACACCGCAGTTCCCTGCCGAATCAGAACCATCCGATAGAAATCTGGCCCCGTATCACACGTCGTCTCTACCCAGCAACAGTGTCCATGACCTGCCCAGTTTGCCGGGATACGACAGCGTCGAGATCCCGGCACTGGAGAGCGACATGATGAACGCGCTGGAGAGCCTGGCGAAACTGAATGACGCCCAACAGCAGCAGATTCTCACCTTGATACAGAAAAAAAGAAGTGCGTCGCAGTCGATGGGCAGCGATCATAGCTTCCACCCCAGGCTGGCAGATTACCACGCCGGGGCGCCAACTTCAGGTACGAGAAATCTGGGGAGAGTGACCCAACTCCATGTCTCAGCTCGCTCACACACACAAAGTCCAGTTCATAAGCAGCGACATGCGATCCACCACACGCCATGGTAGCCGGTATAACTCCAGATCTCCCATTCCAAGAACACGCCATTAGTTACCCAAGAGTTCTGTACTCTGTCTATGAACAATTCTTGCAAGCAGTCAGAGGCCAACGCTCAAACGGGAGAGGATGAAGTTCACTCGAGGTAGTACCAGTCTTGGCCTATGATCCCACATCCCAGTCCTGGGTTGATGTACTCCCCAGGCCTAGGACGGAATCTCCGCGATGGTATAAGCGGATACTCAGCGACTGTGGTGACGACTCCCCGGAGTGGAGTGCCAACTCAACTGCATATGCAAAACTGTGTCGACAAAAGCCCTACGATCCCAAGGTGCATACCACTATCCTCGTTACATGGCTCTTGACTGCTAGCAAAAGAGAAGCTCCAAGGCATTCTGAACAGTGGGATACCGGGAAGACAATGTTCTGACACCTTGAAAAGTCCCCACGACCACTCAGCGACAGACCGCGGGCGTGAATACGTTATTGTGTTAACCGCATCACGTTGAACCTCTTCCGCAGCACGAGAGTCACAAATCATTTCACGACCTCAAGCCCAGAAATGCCTTTTACGGATGGGCTCCACGGACGAGTAAAGAGACGAAGTCAAGCTTACAAAGGGACTGGCTTCCGCCCACAATGCAGACAGAACCGAACAACGGTGGCCCTGCTGGCTGGGACAGAGTTGGGACAAGGAGCCACTCCATTAGCTGGGGATAGGGAGCTATGGGCAGATTAGACAAACAGGACGCATGTCGATGACAGGATGAGTGTTGCTGCCCAGGGTCACCGCCCAGGGGCACTATATGGCTTTTAGCCCACCTTTAGTGCCAGTTGCCTCCCTATGTAAATTCATAACCTGAATACAGCAGTTTTGCCTTGTAATAGGTTATGAGCCCTTATGCTTTGAAAAAGCGCATCTGATGTTATTTACACTCTTTTAATCGTTCGATTTATTTATTTAAGGCTAGGTAGCGCTATTATACGTGCTGGGTGGCAGTTAGTTGCTATTAGCAGGTCTTTCTTATTGCTTAGTAAATTTATAACCGGTTTACACTTTGAACATACGACAATTTATAATAGATGTTATACCAGTTTGTGTTAACGACTTAAAAACGCGACTATTTTTAAGATTACGCTTTTTAATATTTATTAAATAACGTAGGTCACAAGCGAGCGAGACACACAAGCGAGTGGGACACTTTTATAGACCTCTTAAACTTTCAACTTCCAACCAGTATTCCTCCACCCACGATAATGGCACCGCGTTATAACGAATCAGACATGTAGCTAGCTGTCTAAGCTAAAAAATGAGACCCTCATATTTCTGTTCAAAAGCTTGTTAAAACTTTCCACTTATCAATTTCTATACTGGCTCAAAGAATCGCTGGCCGACCATCACGACGCAATAGCATGCCCAATTCTTTAAAACTTACGGTTTTCAAAGAGAATGCCATTTGCTCCTTCATACTTGACCTGGATGCACAAGCATTTCTGCCCTGGTACACTTATATTGAAGATATGACAAATCAATTGTTGGCGACAAATGAGGCTGGACACGTCAAAAAGAACTGGACGGCGAACTTTATCAAACGTACACCAGGTCTCTAGACGAGTTTTTATCGCAGAATGGACTACTTAAGGGTCTTAAATAATGATCCGGACGCGTATCACGCGTGGTTTCACCAAATTGCGGCGGCAATCGCAAAACATGGTATTCAAGATGCGGATATTTATAACTTTGATGAGACTGGGTTTATAATGGGCATTGTTAGATTCGGTATGATCATTATAAGCGCAAAAAGACGTGACAAGCCTAGACAAGCTCAGGAAGGTAACAAAGAATGGTCTATAGTAATCTCTACTATCAATGCTAATGGTTGGATAGTCCCACCATTCATCATTTTACATAGCAAAATCCACCTCATGTCATAGTATTGCGACACGACATTACCATCCAATTGGAAGGTGGCCGTATCTGACAACGGATAGACTACAAATAAGCTTGGTTTGAAATGGATTTAGCATTTTGTGTCACAATTCCGTAAATGTATTGCAAGGATACAGGGACCCTTATTAACTATTAACGTATAACGAACCTTGGTTAAAGGAAAAGAAAGATTTGGAGATGCACACAAATTGGTGGGCAGCTAGATGTGGGCAGTCGTCCCCCACCAAACCCACCAGGGCATGAATCAACCTATCGTACGATCAGTCACGTGCTCAGTCATGTGACCCAGGGACTATGGGGACCATCACTAGACCTGATGAATGGTGGAACCACCACATTTCAACAAGTATACCAGACCGCGTATGACCGCTGGTAAATGCCTCCTCATCCTAGATAGCCACAAAAGCCAACATTCCTAGGTCTTTGAGAATTATTGTCAGAATAATGGCATCATTACCCTTTGTATGCCTGCCCACTTGTCACATAGGCTCTAACCTTTAGATGTCAGCTGTTTTAGCCCGCTTAAACAAGCTTACAGTCGCATAATTAAGGATCTCATCCAGCGTCATATAACTCACGTTTGAAAAGAGGACTTCTTTACAGCGTTTTGTGAAGCACATAATACTGTTATAACACGAGGAAACATTCGAACAAGTTTTAGTACTACTGGGCTTGTTCTTTTTGACCCAGAAAGTGTCATTTCAAAGCTGGATGCTGTCGCTGTTGTACAAATACCGTCGCCAGACCCCAATCTGCCACCAACTACTTGGACTTCCAAGATGCCTACCACCATTAACGAAGCAGTAAACCAATTAATTTATATCTAAAATCAAGCCAGAAACTACTAGAGAAGCTCACTTACATCAATAATTGATGCGTTGAGCTCGTTCTCAAAGGCTATATATGGTCTTATGCACAAGGTCGCTTTGATTAGTACCCAGGTCTACGAACTAGAGGAGACTAATCATTTATTAACTAAATGCTAGAAAACAAAAAACAAATGTCTGGTAAAAAGAGGAATACTTTCTGTTAAAAATGTAATAGGTCTTCAGGCTATAAAGGATAGTACTGAGCTGGCAAGACAAGAAATGGGTGAAAATAGTCGTTGTCCAAGGAGGGCGGCAGCGCGTGAGCAACGGTGTGGCGTTTGCGGCAACACTGGCCATAATGCGCGAACTTGTACAATAGAGATAGAAACCTCTGAAGACGAGGAACCAGATTAAGTAGATTAATTGAATGCGTTGTGATTAAGTTATTTGACATGTTGATTGAAAGGTTAGTAAAAGTGTCCCGCTCGCTTGTGTGTCCCGCTCGCTTGTAACCTACGTTATCCGTATTTTTAAACAATATAACCGGTAAGTATTTTAACCGTTCAACAATTTTTTATATAACTTATAATAGTTTAGATCGACATTTTAAAAACGTAACTATTTTAAGCATTTTATTCGATTATAGGTTTAAACTTTCGGTTAATTATCCGCTACTTAGTAATTTTACTATCTTATTAATTAAATAATACTTTAACCTTTCAATATAATACACTGGTTTTAATTCTACGGGTAATATTTACTAGCAAATCGGTCATCAGAATGTTGTGAACTCTGTATAACTTCGTTTGGCGGCAAGAGCCCTCCGTGTGAAGTAGCTATGCTGTGCTCTATTGCAAGGCTATGATAGCTCTCAAAGGCTCCTGAACCGTACCATCAAGGGCAGGTCTAAAGGTACAGCTGGGTGATACAAGGGCTGTACAAGGGCCCAGCATGCCATAGCCGTGAGCATAGCCAGCGTACAGAAGGTCCCATCTCTTGCTGGGTGCCTTGGTCAGGCTGTCTGCAGGCATCATTTTGCTCCGGACGTACTTGATGTCTATCTTCCCGTTGCGTTGAGCTTCCTTGAGCCAGTGGTTGTGGATATCGACGTGTTTGAGCTTTGTTTGAAGTGTTTGGAGGTCCTTCTGCACCAACTTGATGGTCTGTTGGTTGTCACACCAGATCCGGAGAGTTGGACAGTCAAAGGATACGCCAGTTTCTCTAAGGAAGCGCGAAACAAACATCACTTCTTTGGCTGCTTAAATAAGGAATAACAGTTCTGTCTCTGTTGTTGAGGCTGTCACTGTGTCATGTTTGTTCGCTCTCTTGCCAATAATGCCTCTAAATAGCTATATCATATATGCTTGTGAGCTCTTTTGGTCGAGGCAGTTGTCAGCAAATGACGCATCGATCTATGTTTCAAGCAGATCTTCACCCTCCAGCTGAAGAGCAAAAGACCTGGTACCCTTCAGGTACTCTAATAGGTGCTTTGCGGCAGCATCATATAAATCGTTTGGGTTGGTATTAAAGCGTGAAAGCTGAGAGACAGCGAAAGAGATATCGAGTCGTGTGATCACCACTGCGTACATGATCAATCCAATCTTCTTTTGGTATGTGTTGATTGAGGCTGGCGATGCGAGCTCGTTGCTTGGGAGAAGCTCTTAAGGCTTTATGGGGATCTTTGGGCACTTCTTGTTGCGGTTGATATGGCTTGTAATCATATCGATATATGAGGCTTGAGACAGCTAGATGAGCCGCTGTTTTTGGTTCCTAATGATCTCTATCCTTAAGAACCACTGTAGTGGCTCTCCTCTTGTCAGATTATAGGTAGCTTTAAGCTTCTTTGTGACCGCTTTCCTTTAAAGGCTATCATGATATCATCCACATAGAAGAAGATGATCATATCATCCTTTGTGAAGCAACAGGGTTCGTGAGCGACTGGTTTGAAGCTAAGGTCTGTGAGAGTTTTGGTGAAATACTTTTGCTATAACAAAGGAAATTGCCGTAGTCCGTATAGAGCCTTCTTTAGTAAGAGGACCTTTCTTTGTTTATGATGCCCTTGTGGCATTTTTATGAAGACTTCCTTTTCTAGGCCTGTATTGATAAAGACGTTGACGGCATCGTATTGAATGAGCTCAAGATTGAAGCGGGCTGCGATTGCCATATGGGCTCTGAAAGATCTGCCTCCGAGAGTAGATGCGTAGGTATCCTCTTAGATGTTCTTATTCTGCTGGTCACCACGAACCACGAT